AGATAGGAAAGTCACATTTTGAAGATCCTTATTGGCTAGGATTAGTGCACACATTTTCAAATAAATGGTGACAGTTACCCAACCCAAATACATATTGCCAGGGCAGGGTTACCATTAGGCAGAATAAGGCAACTGCTTTAGGAGATGCTGATAGGGCCAAACTGTCACAACATATTGATATACTTACACTGCTGCTCCATCAATAAGATAGGCCTGCTGCCTTCTGGTACAGTGGAGGCCTACCTTCCTGCTCACATACAATGGGGAAACCATATTTTCCTTTACTTCAGGCAGCAAACTGTTTTGGGCCTTCCTTCTGGGACTCTTTCACTTCTGATCCTAACAGGTGATGATATTACCAATGATAAAGGTGGGGCACAGACACACGGCCTTTGCATATATGAATGAATACATCAAATTCCATTATTTGCAGGAAAGGAAATAATTTTCAGGCACTTCGTCTCTCTATAACTAATAAATCTTGGAAGAAGAAAAATCCACTGTTACTAAAGACCAAATACTATTTTATATCTATAGTGCACTATTCATTTGCTGTGTCAAATAAGCAAATGTTAAATGTTTTGATTTTTTCACAGGAATTCTGCCAAGCACTTCAGCAGCCTGATGCTAAAGTTTTTAAAAACTACTTAAAGGTAGGTTAATTTTAAGCGACTGGTTTTGCCAAATTCTAATAGAACTAGACCTACAACATAGCCAATTGGTGATATTTTCAACTAAAAGTAAATATTGTCCCTTAGTTTCAGCTATCCAAACAAAAATAGTATTTTAAAACACAGCTGTTGCATTGGCTAGTAGATTATTTTGCAAGGAAAAAAAAATAATGCTGTCAGCTTCACAAAATCAGCATTCCATTTCATGTGAGCATGTGTCTTCTGGCTGTTTGGGCATTGTGGAATTCCCTCGATTGTGTATGCACAAACAACCTTTTGAAGATGGGACAATTTTATACCTTGCAGTAGACTGGAATGTCCCTTAGGTCAGCAAACACCATTTAAGTCATTCTCTTACGCACATGGAGTTCCTTCACACAATGTCTTATTTTTATGGTATTTTATATTCAAAACATGGATTGCATGTTTTATGCCATACTAGTATCATAGTATAAAAACTGTTTTAAATAAATGGATTATCTGAACTTTGAGACTACAATTCCCACAGTCATTACCATTAGTCTTACTGGAAAAAGCTGCTTGGAGTTGTAGACCAAAACAAGCAGAGGGTTGACAGTTCCCCATGCCAGTAAATGCAATTTTTTTTCTTTCCTACAATCAGTAGTCCTATGAAATAGTTACATATTTGTAAGTCTGTGTGGTTGTAATTTAAATACTGCTGAAATAATTTATACTTTATTCCTCAAAATGTGAGTGTGACAGATTTGCACTTAGGTGAAGCTGATACTTATTGTTAATTGAGTTCTTTCAGTTTTCAGTGCATCAAAATGATGAAAAGGTTATGTGTGTGTGTAAGGTAAAGATAAAGGTTTCTGCTTGACATTAAGTCTAGTCATGTCCGGCATTGTCCGTAGATGCCTCCAAGGTCATGTGGCCAGCATGACTGCATGGAGAGCTGTTAACCTTCCTGCCAAAGCAGTACCTATTGATTTACTCACATTTGGCAGAAGCTAGGGCTAACAGAGGAAGCTCACCCCACTCCACAGATTCAAACCTCCAACCTTTTGGTCAGCAAGTTCAGCAGCTCAGTGATTTAACCCGCTGTGCCACACCCCCTATCTATATCTATATATGTTTAAATCTACTTATTCTAAATTTAGCTCCATTTATAAGGAGATTTCATTCCTAAAAGACACATACAAGTATTTTCTTCATTTAACCAGTGAGGAGGCAGATAGCATTTTAAGCCTATTATCTAGTTTGGCAGTAGGTCTTGCCGTTGATGAGTCAATATTAGACAATTCTGTCCCTGCCTTTTGGAAATTCCCTTGTCAGGTTGCTGTTTGAGAACAGACACTTAATATTACTAGTAATCACAACTTCATTCGTTAAACTTGCTTTTCATCACTTTTTATCCTTGAAATAGAGGTATTGTGTATTTGTTGTCTTCAACTCTAACATACGTATTTTTTAAAACAGGTATTCTTTCAGAGAGCAAAACCCTAAGAAATCTAGAGGAACCAGTTTTCTTTAATCAGGAACTCCAGATATTAATTTATATGAATGCTAACTTCTGTGCCATTCAGATTGACTTCTTTTTCTTCTGGAAGATGTTGCTCTGCGCTTAAATCCGTATGTGTATTAGCCTTTTCCTGTAAAAGTGCAAATTAACTGCTCTATTTTATGTTGGTTGATGCACGTATGGCATTTAGACAACATAGGTTGCCTGCCTGCCTGCTCAGAACGCCCTGCATAGGATAATTGTATGCTGTAATTACAGCAAAAATGGAATATCCACTTTTTTAAAAATCTTGAAATTATACAATGTATAAACTCCTTCCAACCCATAGCAATGGTATAAATTGTGTACATTTTTAAATACTGAGTAAAATATGTGCATATTAGAAATGGACCTCATTTGTTCATGTACTGTGATACAAAATAAAACAATCAAANAATCAAACCCAATATTGTAGATAGCCATTTCTTTTGATAAGTCTAAATACTAAATATATACTACAAGATAGTTACTAATGGGTCTGATTAAAATAGGATTGGCTCTACATTTTTATATAAAAATAAATTTTATTCAATAAAATCTTGATGTTGTCTTGACTCATTGGTCGCCTTCTTGGTATCGGTATTTTGCTCCTGTAATAGGGAACCTAAAGTACAGTATATTGCAATAGTTCCATTAGGAACTTGCCAGAGTATGATAAGGTTATCCCATTCAGAACAACCACAGCTCACAATCGTAGTTGGCTATATTTGCCACCAAAGCCACCTGCCCTGGCAGTGGTGGTTTTGAGTTAAGCAATATTCCTAGACTCTGCCAGCGAGGACTGGGAGCTAAGAAAGAAGACCCTACTGCACAGGAAGTCAGTTCTTTCTTACAGTTCTCAGAGAAGAGCTCATCACATTGCCAAAATACTAAAACTATATCTAGGCCACCACTTGTATCATAAATCTCATAAAAATGTAAAAATCACTATTCTGAGTAGTTTGTGATGCTTAAGAATAAGGGCAGTAGGAAACGTCATTTTATATTTCCAAGGTTCTATATTAAAAAGAAATGGTATACCTTTACTCCCTCTTATCACATTCACAGAAGCAAAATAAAATCCACACCCATATTATCTTCTGTTTACGTGTCCAAGGCAACTCTCACCATTACAGGCAGTCCC